TAGAGCAATTTTTAAAATTCCTCAATTATTGATAGTTTTTTATACGGAGACATTACATTACAAACAAAAACCTTTGTATACTGCTAGAAATTTTGAAAACAATTGGATTCAAAAAAGTACTTACTGTACTCTTCCTTTTTCAAAATTGAACAGTAAATAATTTTGTTAAATATCTCAATTATATTAACGTAAGCAATATATAGATAAAACAATTAGAAGACATTCTATATAACTTAAAAAAAAATTAATGAGGAAAGAACAATAGTTAATTTATTTTTTAAATCATACACGGCCTATAAAATGATAATATTTCCATAAAATAATTATTTTTAAACTTTGAAAAACAAAGAAAGTTATTTCTGTGAGACATCTCTCTCTCTGGATTAATTATTAAAATTCCAATAATTTGAAATTTTTGATAATTATATCAACTGGAAAAAACTACAAAGATATATCTAATTCTTAATGTATAAAATCATAAAATAAAACGTTTTAGGTTTTTAAATTTAATAAAATAGTTTCTCCTAAATCTTGCCGTTGATTGTGAATGCTTGAAAAATGTTGAACAGGTATATTTAGTCTTACTTTATGAACCTATTGTTTTGTCAGAATTACTAACTGTACTGCAGCATTTTATATTAGCATCAACGTTGTTATAAACAGCACTTTAATACAAACTGCACTTTCTTTATACTTCTGAATATGTTGGATTTTATACAAAATAAACCATTAATAAATAAAGGCGTAGTTTATTAGAACCAACCAGAAACTAAAAATTTAGTAATCAAGAATTCAATTTGCAGTTAAGTAAAATTATTTGATAATAAATTACAAATCATATACTGCAACTTCTGCACTGAATATAATAATAGAATCACCTACTTTAATGTTGATTTTTCTAGAAACTATCAGGCCTAGGGGGTATCTTTTGATATTTATTTTCAGCTGTACGTTCACCAGCTTTATACTGTCGAATTCTTTCCCTTATCATTTCCAGATTACGTGCTTTCTCTTTGTGTCTCCCAACACATTCTTGGAAGTCACTGATGAGGTCTTTACACTTTATGCGACCCTTGTCTAGACCATACGCTTCTAAACAATTTATTACTTTCATTTCAAAATTAGCACAGCGACCATACCACTGATGTGTGAACATATAAGGAGTTAAATCCGTGAAAGGGGAACGAAGAAAAGGTGACAAGGACATTTTAATAAATTTAAGGATACGTAAAACTGCAAAGAAAAAGTGCATTACATAACAAATATGGTGAGATTCCATTTAGTAAAAATTATACAGATTAACCCTAAATATTATATAGAATATAATTAATAATAACATTTTCAATAAAAAGCAAAACTCACAGTAGGTAATGAAATTTACTTGGGAATAATATATTTTTCCTTTTTCCCGAAGAGGTTACTTAAACTAAAATGACAATTTCTATTTCTGGTATTTGTTTCTATGGAAAATTAGATATTGTTTTTCCTTCACAATTATCTATGCGTCCACAGTTTTATGGTTATCTGTGGTTATTATAGGATGGTTACCCTTTGTATATCTATGGTTGTAGTTTAACGAAATGATCTACACATGAAACATAAACATTTATTGTTTTCAAGAAAAGCTGTTATTTTTTTGGTCTCTATTTAGCTTCAAAGAAGAGTCATGAAGTGGTTTCCTCCCTGGATAAGGATAAGATTAACAACAACCAGAATGTGAAGTGGATTATTGAAGAATGAGTTTGTGAGATGTCATTGGTTACTTTTTGGACACATTAGGAGTTGTAGGGATAGAAGGTAAGAAAAATCCCTTAAGAATGTTTTTAGGGCTTTATTTGGTTCATTATACAGTTCCAAATAATAATAGTTTCATAATCTACGTACCAATTTTCAAGAAATTTTATTATCCAAACAGCAGTCTCATCAGGTAATGATGATTATGGTGTTGTATCGATCAGTTGTGAATATCAGCTTATACAATCAATACCTATATGGTTTAAATC